GCAATCAACTCTTCATCCTTTATATAAGTAGTGGAACGAAGCTCAGAAATGGCACGCTCAAGATCTTGAATCTAAGGTCAAGCCTAGTCTTCAAGTTAATGATCTCTTGGCGAACGGTCTTACGCTACAAAGAAGTGGGGGCAGAGATATTATACCCCTTCAAAGTGACGAGCTCAGATTCTAACCTTTTGATATTCTCGGCAAAAGAATAAGCTTCGCTGCCTTTGCCACCTCATCGGCATCCTTGGTATCCTCTTGGTCAATGAGCATAGACTCGGCTGCCAGAATAGCCATCTTCTGCATCATTGCAAGTAGAAAAGTTTTCTTATACTCGACCATATGTTTCGCAAAGGGACATGGGCAAACAACCATTCTAACGCCTTCGACAAACTTGGCACAAATGTCCATGTTTTCAAGCATATCTGGTTTCAAAAGTGCACAGATCTCAACAGCCTCCACAAAAGCAGGTTTAGTGGATTCTTCATAGTTGCCCACACGTGTAGTCTCATTCTTCCCAGCAGACGAATCAATCTCAACAGCAGAGAAGTAGGCATTAGCGCCACTTTAGTAGCAGAGTCCACCTTATCGCTCTTCATATTAGCGAGCCTCTTTAAAGGTGAACCAGACTTAGCTCCTAACAGACGCCTTGCATTGGTTTTGGCACTAGGGGAACAATGGAGCCTTTTCGGTGAGCAATCCTATCGGCAATCGAACTAGCCATCTTTGGCATAGCAGGCGTCACTGGCTCAAATCTAGTAGCCTCATTTTTCGTCCCCTTGGAATATCTCAGCCGGCACCTCTTGAGCAGGCAAGGAATATCTCTTTTTCCCATCTTCATCCGTAACAGGCTCCACTACAGCGATCAGACGAGCCAACGCATCCACCTTGATTTGCTTTATCTCATCTCTCAAGGGTAGCCCACATTTCTCCCGACAAAGAGGACTAAGCAGCCAACGCCGTTCACGGTACTCAGCAGGGAAGCTCAACCCATGATGGTTTTTCCCTCAGTTTTTCTCTCGAACTAGTAGGCAAGAGGTTTGCATGCCCATCATTCTAATAGCCCAAGAGGCCCACGACCTTATCATTACTCTCAATCACCGACCTAGCCCGCGTTAGGTCTAAGAGCCGAAAAGGACATGAGTCATGTGACTCGCCTAGCATTGCGCCCCAGCGCCATAATCTGCGACCCCAATGCCATAATTCGTGGGCCCAATCACACAGCTGCCTTTGGCTTTAGCCAAACTAAGCAGCCCAAGTAGTGGTCCATGCCACAACACCTCATCGGCCGATTCCGAGCCAACTCCTGGCCCCTGCCAGCCGAAGTGCCACACCACCCTGATGGTTGCCTCACGGTAGCACAATCCAAGAAGAAGACAAGGAAAATTAATTTTTTCTTACCTTGGTGTGGTACGGAGAAGACGAAGAAAACGATGAAAGACGGTCCTTTGCACAGGCAAGTGTAAAAGATTGCTAGGGGAGGGGGAACAAATATCATCTAACTTTCTCTCTCTTGTAGTGTATAATAGATTGCTCTCTAAAGTTGATTTAATCATCTACTTAAGGTAGACTTAAATAAGTGATTTATTTCCATTTCCTAGAAAGATCTAATTTCCAATTAAAGAGATAGAAAACAATGTTATGTTTCCTAAAGCAAGAAGATCTCTTCACCTGCTGCCTTTTCCTGCAAACAGCCTAACAGGTGTGAAGGCATTTGTAGAGCAAAAAATAATCAAGAAGAATATGGAGGTGACACGTGGATTCTAAGGTAAAAAGGACAAAACTACCATCGAGGAACACCAGAACTCTTACGCGCAAGCAGTGGACAACCATCATTCAATCAAGTCAAAAGTGCCCAAAATAGGTATTTATTTAAAACCTATTTCATCTATCCTCATCAAATATTCTCCACAAGGTAACCCCTAAATATTTCCTTTCAAATTATATTAATTAGCTAATTAATTGATTTATTATTCAATTAATTTATTAATTAGCTACAAATCATGAATCTCACCCAAAAAACCATCCAAGTGGCCGGTCCATCTCCTCCCAAAAGGGCCGGCCACACCCCTATATAAACACCCTCATTTTCTCCAAATTAAACCTAAGTTTTACACTCTTGCTAAATTCTCTAAATTCTCCAAACATTTTTCTCTCTAAATTCTAATTTTGGCATCGAAGGTTCTTTAGCCAAAACCCCCCTCCAAAAAAAAAATCATCGTGGGCGTGTTAGGCTCTTGGCATTGACCAAAGGTGTTATTTATTTAGAAAAACTAATGAAAATGACTTGAAAACTTTGAGTTTTAATGACAAAATAAAGAGTAAAGTGAATAGTATCATGATTGACTTTTTAGTGTAAAAATGTGGCTTTTCGTTAAAATGAATAGTACCTGGAGCTTTTCGTTAAAGTTCCCTATTTATTTTGTATGTGCAATTTTGTCCAAAAATAAGAAGGAAGAAATTTGCATCCACACGCATTGTATAACATCTATTCTTGACAGTGACATGGTTCTACTTCTAAGTCACAGTTAGTATTGCCATATGAATCCATTCAACTTTCCTAATGATCCTCATAGTTATTTACTGTAATGTGTTTTTGATCGGGTTGCAGGGATCCAAAAGAAGAAAAGGGCAAACAAAAGAACTCCTAACACAACACCTCCAACAAATGCCAGAGATAAAGCTTTTAATTTGGACCAAAAATGCCGACTAGAATTTGACAAAAATGTTACCTGGGATTTAAATCATATATGAGTTTGTTTTCAATTCTACCATTAAAACACATCTCGTCTGTTTTTAATATTTGGTGGTAATTTAGGTGTTTAATTCTTCATGTAATCATTGTGATCCCTAAAAGATGAATATGAATATAGAAGTTTAAATAACGCAGCAAATGCAAGATTAAATAATTATCGATGTCGTCAAAATCACTAAAACAATGAAAAATATGAAGTCTTACCTCATGTGAAGCTTCCGAAACATCGATTTCGTGTTCCATTCGTCAAAAACAATTTTTCTCAATCAACATGTTTGTAGTTTCATTGGTTAGGGTTTTGTTCAGCAATGGAAGGTAGGAGGGTTTTGATAATTGAGAAGATAAATAATACGCTAAATATGATTTGGGGTGTATTTAGAATTTAAAAAAAAACAAAAAACATAATAAGGTCAAAATTATCATTACCTAGAAATGTTCATTTTCTAAGTTACTCTTTGAACTTAATCACGCACAAAACCAACTAAATAAAGACATTTAATTGTTCAATTAAAATTGTCATAATTTGAATTATTAACTGAAAAATGTGGTTTGCCTCTTGATTAAAGAATAATCAGATGAGCAAAATATCTTCATTTTAACTTTTTTTTTTTGTAAAAAATAAATTTTAATGGGCCTATTTACTCCATAATTTACACAAAAATAGAATTATGAGATTGAGATCTTGAGTAAAGATGGATAATTAATATTTTAGTAAGCAAATTAACATCTCAGATGACGAAAGAATGCTCTATAAGATAGATTATTACATACAAACAAAGCAAGAGGTTCTCATGAGTGGGAGAGATTTTTCAGTGTTCCCGTCATACGAAATGGTACATCACGTGTGTTTATATAAATGATGGGTTATATGTGTTAAAAAGTTAATAACTTAAAAATTAAAATTTTTCACTACTTGTATAAAAACACGTGATGTACTATCTGTATTCTCGTCACAACTAAATTTTTTTTCATGAGTGGGCCGGTTTGCATCATTCAACCTTGTATTATTACTCTGGTTCATGGTCGTCACTTTAGACCCACAACGTGGGAAACGAGGAGGGGTTACGTGGTTCTTATACACCTTTCACTACCTACTTTTTCGTCAAGTTTTATAAGGAACTGTCAATAATTTTCTCATCACAAACAAAAAAAACATTGTATGGCTTGAATGCTATGTATTATTTAGTGTTACAAGTATTTTAACTGTTAAAATTGATTTTTATAATTATTTAGATCTTTTATTTTCAATCTTAATATTTTCTTCATAATATGTAGTATGAAAAAAAAAATTGCAAGTCCCTTTAAACTAATAAGATGCGTCATTGCTTGCATCACTCATGACCTTATTGATGGGAACTTCTCTAGGGGAATGAGAGTCACACAATGGGTCATATATAAATAAGTATAGTTTAAATGTCTCAATAGTCTTTGGGTTCTAGTTATTAGGTCAATTTAGTCTCCGTGATTTTAATTTGACCAATTTGGTCCTTATATTTATCTTTGTTAACCAATTAAGGATATTTCATCCAATCTCTATTAAAAAAGTAATAAATAATTAAAAACTTATTTATAAGAATATCTATTTGATCTTAAAATGAAATAAAATTAAAAATTAAAAGAAAAATTACTCTTCTCCCTAACGTTCTATCATCTCCTAATTTTCTTGCACACCCACTCGCTCCCCTCCCCTCCTCCACCCTCTTTTCTAGATCACGAGAATTAAATTGGCCAAATTTAAAATATGGGGACTAAATTGACCAAATGGCTATAACACACGAACCATTTTTTAACATTTAAGGCAATAAGTAATGAACTCAATCCAAAAAATATTATATGTTCTCATCATGAATTATAATATAATAGTTTTAAACCCTCCCCTCTCCTTAATAATAGTAGTTTTTTTTTTATTCCACAATGACCTTAGTTCAAATCCAAAAGACATTAAACAAACCAAACTCAAGTGACTCAAACTCAATAATTAGGGATAAAAGCAATGTCTCCTGACCAATTACCCTAATTTACATCGCCATCACATGTACAAACTTTACATCGACTTGTTTATGGTTGTAGATTAGCATTTTCTCCATATCACATTTCAAAGTAATAAAAAGCCGTTTAGTACTACGGTTTAGTGGTATTACTCTCCACACTATTACTAGCTCATTGTGAGGCTAAGATCACCCTCTCCCCTAATATCGTTTATTTAAAAAAAAAAAACAAACCGTTTGTTTGCATAACTAGTGGTTTCTTCATCAATTTGGGATTTGGATACAATTATAATTATTTCAGAATAATTGGGGCAGGGTACATGGGTGACCTAGATTAGAGCACCACTACACTCCTCACAATTGACATTTGGGTGTTGAAATCAATAGTGGGCTGAAAAATATGAAAGTAGGCCCACCAACGGCCAATTGATGTAAGTGGTGGGCTTGGATTCTTGGAGGAAGAAAGGCCTCGAGTCTGGGAACGAGGCTGAGCTGTTGGGCTCACCAACGATGGCTCCCACCAGCAAATTGGGGTTGGGCTTTGGACTTAAGAAGTATCATCTAGACCCGGCTTTGCACCCGATGCGGGCCGGGTGGGCATGCACCGACGGTGATGAGCTGCTCCGGTGGTGTATCATCTGTGGGTAGCGTGCACCGTATCCAACCATGAACGACATCCTCAGTGAAACCTAGAATAATTGAATCATTAATTCACAAGTACAGTAAATGATCCAATATTTCATCCAAATTAAACCCCAATATAAATCACGTTAACAGATTAATCACATATGTACTTATATATTTAGTAGTAGGACACACACACACACATATATATATATATACACATACAGTTTTTGAGATCGGAGAAGCAGTTGCAGAGGCCGGTGGATCAAGGGACGAGAGCACGAGGGCGGGGATAGGGAGGGGGGTGGGTCATGTGGGAGTGGCCACTGTGTGGGAGCTCATGTCTTCGTTAGAAGTAGTAAAATATGGTTCAGTGCTGGAGCGGACAGGGATACCTGTCGGCGGAGCATCTTGGTGGTGATGGTGCTGGTGCTGGTGGTCGGACGAGGAGTACTTCTCGTATCCCTTTGGGTGTGACGAGTACGTGATGGTCGAGTTAGGTGGGGAACGATGAGGAGGTTGAGCGAATATGATCTCAGACAGACTGAGAGAGAGGACTTGAAATGTTTTGGTTTATTCTACAACCATAGAACGGATGAATGCGCTGACTTAGAGAAATTTTTAGTTGTGATCGGAATACAGGTGGTATACCACTTGTTTTTATATAAGTGGTGAAAAATTATATTTTTAAGTTATTAATTTTTTAACACACATATCACACAATTTTTGTAATGACAGATAATATACTACCGCATGTTCCGGAGACATTAAAAAATTTCTCGTTGGCGTACGTCAAGTCTCCTCCGTCTACGAGTCTTCCTGTATGCTTTCTTCCTTACAGCGCTGCGCTAAAGTTTTTGAAGGCCCATGGAAAAGCCTGTGAAAAAGGCCCTTTTATTACGATCAACTTTTTTCATGGGACTGAGATCACCTCCGAATCCCAGCCTCTGGAGCAAACCGGGCAAAACATCTTATTCTTCCATTTTCATCTTGCCTTGTTTTGCGTGAGAATTGTTCAATATTTAAATTTATTTCTCGTCACAGGATCAAAAATGGAAGGATGGGATGTCTTGCTCAGTTTGCTTTGGAGGTTGGGATCCGGAGGTGATCCCAGTCCTTTTTTGTGGAGTGATTTTTGAATATCTATTTTCACGTTTTGCACAGTTTTTTTTTTAATTTTTTTTTATTCAATCTATAATGACCAAAAAATATGGGTGTACAGGAGGCGGAAAAGATCTTTGGAAATCACTAGCAGGTGTACTCGAGCGTTGTCATGGGATTTTAAACTTTGTTCAAGAAGTGGACAGTCTTGAAAATATGTGGCAAAGAGCATTGCTTACTATTTACATTACATGTAACATAAAGTCTTGAAACTTTGTTCAAGTTAACAAAATTGAGGACATTGGAATGCCATACTTAAGGAGTGTTATTTACATCTATATATTACATAAGAAAAATTGGTAACTCCGATAATTATTTGATCCTTTTATGTCCAAATTGTATAAATAAAAAAAACTAAAATTTGTTCCTTTACAGACACCCAAATCAGTAACTCCGATAATGACTTCTCCTTGGTTTTCCACAAAGCCATTGAACATGAATATAATAACCGATTAGAAACAATAGAGTCCACACCACTTTAAGATACACGCAAATAGTTCCAAAAAAAAAACCGAAATAATAGTGATTTTATTATAATATTAAGAACTGATACAAACATTAAAAATAATATTTGATAAAAGAGAATCCACAATCTACAGAGACTTCAACAAAACATAAAAGGTCAACTCGATTGAATACCATGGCAAGACAAGCCCACAAACTAGCAAATGAACACAGTCTTTAAATTATTCACACCCAAACTCAACAGACTAAGACGACTCTCCAAAGCCAAAAGAAGTTTATTCAAGAGACGGCAAACAAAAATCGAAAGCGAATTCTTTTATTCCATATGGTATGAAGCATCAAGCCAACACCATTACTATTTGTAATCAGTCTGACGATTCATGCCACCCTGCACAGCTGGTGCTGTCACCACTCCAGGATTCTTTGACGCATTTTGTTCCCAGCCTAACATTCATTGAAATTAACTAGTTAATTAGGAATCATTTTGAATTAATACTTTTTAAAGATAATTACACGTGTATAACGCGTATCGGTTGATTTAACTAGGATGGATAAGGAGGTGCACCGAGACGGTGAATCTAAGTGATTGTATTGGAGGGAGGAAACAACGAATGTACGTACCAATGGTAACATTGAAACCACGGTTCTCGAGCTCACGGTATTCTTGGCACAAGGCACAGGAGTGGCAGAAGAAATGAACGCAGCAATCGTTGCAAGGTTTTTTCTCCAACATGTACTGCTCCCTCAGTTTGGTTCGAAAGCCGCAAGTTATGCAGAAACCGCAAGGAATGCCGAATGCTAAGTGAGTATAGGAATTGATTAGTGCATACAAACATCCCTGCTGAAAACAACCTGCATACGCATGCACACTTTTGGAGTTCACTTCCAATTTCAACATCATCCTCAAATTTTAATCACTTAATTTAGGGCGTGTTTTGGGCTGTTTACGTATGAAGCGCTCATGTTCGAGTTAAGTACGTGCTTTTATTACAAAAATACTGAAAATTTTATTATATCCAAGTGTTTCTTATAAAATCCAAGTGCTTCATGGAAAGGAATTTGAATTTGCTCATCGAGAAAGTGACTAGTTAACAAGTGCTTCTCGAGAAAGTCTATTTAAATTTTTATGTTAAAGTTATTCAAAACAACTTTACTAAGGCAGAAAGCAAAGAAGCAATTCAAAACCGGCCCTCAATCAAGTTTACATATCGAGTTACTGGGTTCTTAAAAGAAACGTTACTGGTATGTCCTTTGGAGACAATCTCTGCAACACGCCCAGCAACAACGCAAGGACACCAAAATCCCAAGCAGCCTGCGGTCCAAATTACATTATATAGGTTTAGGGTTTGTATGATCAAATCATCAATCGGTATATATTCATATACCAAATAAGTAAACATGGTATAATTGATTTAGTTAGCTAGCCAGGAAGGGAAGAGAATAGAAGCTGCGCTTACAGACACTGCAGTCACTGAAGCAGTCAAGCAGGCCAGTGGTCCATCCACCCGACATCTTTTTTTGCACACCGTTGGGGCATATACATACACACACATGCACATATATATATATATATATGCGATCGATGTTATTGGAATCTGCACTAGACCGCACTATGCATGTTTTGGTTTGACGTGCAGAATTGTCATGCTCATGGATAGCAACGGCAGATGAAGCAGCTTTTATACGATGAAGTACGAGTAAATACATGTTCACGACCAAAAAAAACCAGACAATGTTATGCAAAGGGATCCTCAATTTTTTATTTTTTTTAAAGGGATTAGATGTGGAGTCCACTTCACGTAGAACTTCAACAATCTAAACTGTCTATTTTAGGCATCCAAATTTTTTTTTAAAATGTGTAATGTCAAACATAATTAATGAAGAATGCTACTAGACACACCTCATTATCTTATTTCCCCATCCACCTTATAATTTGACCCACTATAAAAAGTTAAAAATTTGAAATGTTATTTCTTCATCACTGTCATTCCTAAAATATCCTCTAATTTATATCTAAATTCATTCTATTTTAATTTATCAGAATGTCATCACCCTAGCCGCACCACCCCCTTAAAATGTCACCTACCCCCGTTAGCAACCAAAACCTTGGACACCTGCTTGGTGGCATCTTCTTTGGGAAGAGAGAAAAACGGAAGAGGGAAGTAGAGAGAGAAATGGGAGGGGAGGAAGAGAGAGAAGCACAGGGGAGAGAGAGGACGTATACCCTCTCTCTTTGTCAGCGATGGTTGAAATGCAATTTTGATGGAACATAGGTGGACAGCAGTGCGGTGGCGGCTGGGTTATGGAGTGGTGGTGGGTGATGAGGAGGGAGATTTTCATTTTTCCCAGTTTGAGAGAGAGATGGAGAGACGGTGGTGGGGAGAAAGAGAAACAGGGTGGGGACAGGAGAAATGGTAGTTGAGTTTTTTTCTAGGTTTTTTTTTTTGAGCTATAATAACATTAATTATAATAAAATAAATAAGGGTTTAAAAGTCTTTTTATAAAAGGATAAACATGCTATTAACATTTTTACTAAAATGTAGGTGAGAAGATAGAATAATGGGGTGTGTTTATCACCACTCTTAATAATTTTGCTGATGTGAAATCTATTCAACGGGTTTTATTCAAGTAAAAAACTTATGTCCGATTTTATGTGGATAAAATTACATTTTAGAGGCTAAAGTCATATTTTCAAAAAAAAAAAAAAAGACAATGTTGATTGATGCTTAGAAATGTTCATTTTCTAAGTTACTCTTCGAAATTTAATCACGCACAAAACCAACTAAATAAAGACATTTAATTGTTCAATTAAAATTGCCATAATTTGAATTATTAACTGAAAAATGTGGTTTGCCTCTTCATTAAAGAATAATCGGATGAGCAAAATATCTTCATTTTAGCTTCTTTTTTTTGTAAAAATAATTTTTAATGGGGCCTATTTACTCCATAATTTATACAAAAATAGAATTATGAGACTAAAATCTTGAGTGAAGAGATAATTAATATTTTAGTGGGCTCAGATGACTAAAGAATGCTCCAGAAGATGGATTATTACATACAAACAAAGCAAGAGGCTCTCGTGGGTGGGTTTGCATTATTCAACTTTGTATTATTACTCTTGTTTAAATTATTAACATACAAACAAAGCAAGAGGCTTTCATGAGTTTGCATCATTCAACTTTGTATTATTACTCTGGTTCATGGCTGTCACTTCAGACTCACAATGTGGGAATGAGGAGGGGTTAGTGGTTCTTATACATCTTTCACTACCTACTTTTTCATTTTGTTGTTTAGTTACCACTTATGCCAAATCACGTCAAGTTTTATAAGGAACTTTCACTAATTTTCTCATCACAAACAAAAAAAATTGTACGGCTTCAATGCTATGTATTATTCAATGTTATAAATATTTTAGTTGTTAGATTTGATTTTCACAACTATTTAAATCTTCTATTTTCAATGTCAATATTTTCTTCATGATACGTAGTTTGAAAAAAAAGTTGCAAGTCCATTCAAACTAATAAGATGTGTGATGCTCGCAATGTGCATGGGATTATGATTCTTTTCTCTCCTACTCCCATCATCTTCCCTCCCCTCCTCTTACACATTACTTTTTATCTTATTGTTCCTATAATATAAGATGTTGACATGACTTAACTGTGACCGTTCAAATAAGAGACATGGAAGGGAAGAGAGATTAGGAGAGGAGATAATCCTCCTCCATGCGCATGACCATATTGATGGGAAGTTCTCTAGGGGAATGAGAGTCAAACAATGGGTCATATATAAATAAGTATAGTTTAAATGTCACAATAGTCCCTGGGTTATAGTCATTAGGTCTATTTAGTCTATGTGATTTTAATTTGGCCAATTTGGTCCTTATATTTATTTTTGTTAATTAATTAAGGATATTTCATCCAATCTCTGTTAAAAATTAATAAAATATTATAAACTTATTTATAAGATTATCTATTTGATTTAAAAATGAAATAAAAATTAAAAATCAAAAGAAAAATTACTCTCCTCCCTAACGTTCTATCATCTCCTAATTTTCTTGCACCCCCCCCTCCTCTTTCTATGTCATGAGAACTAAATTGGCCAAATTAAAAATATGGGGACTAAATTGGTCATATAGTTATAACACATGGACCATTTTTAATATTTAAGGCAATAAGTTATGAACTCAACCCAAGAATATTATATGTTCTCGTCATGAATTAATATAATAGTTTTAGGAAGCCTTAAGGGAATAGATCCTCATTTTTTTTTATAAAAATTAGGATTAATTGTGGGGTCCACATCACATAGAACTTTAACGATCTGAACCATCTATTTTCACGTTGTACCTCATAGATCATCCTTGCAAAATATTAGCCAAATCGGAAATATTTAAGACATCTAATTGGGTTCAAAGAAAGAAACGAATACTTTGTTAAATAAGAAACAATGAAATTTTATCTTGATAATTAAATAGGCAAATGGTTTCGGATTGAATCGAATTTTTGCAAGGATGATCTATGAATCGAGACTAACAAAATAGACGGTTCGGATCGTTGAAATTCAATGTGGAGTAGGCCTTACACCTAATCCTTTTTTTTTTCAAAAAATAGGGATCACTTTTCATAAAAGGCCTAAATAGTTTTAAACCCTCTCCTCCCCTTAATAAAAGTAGTATTTTATTCCACAATGACCTTAGTCCAAATCCAAAAGACATTAAACAAACCAAACTCAAGTGACTCAAACTCAGTAATCGGGAATAAAAGCATTGTCCTAACCAACAACAACAACAAAGCCTTTTCCCACTAAGTGGGGTCGGCTATATGAATCCTAGAACGCCATTGCGCTTGGTTTTGTGTCATGTCCTCCGTTAGATCAAAGTACTCTAAGTCTTTTCTTAGAGTCTCTTCCAAAGTTTTCCTAGGTCTTCCTCTACCCCTTCGGCCCTCAACCTCTGTCCCGTAGTCACATCTTCGAACCGGAGCGTCAGTAGGCCTTCTTTGCACATGTCCAAATCACCGGAACCGATTTTCTCTCATCTTTCCTTCAATTTCGGCTACTCCAACTTTACCTCAGATATCCTCATTCCCAATCTTATCCTTTCTCGTGTGCCTACACATCCCACGAAGCATCCTCATCTCCGCCACACACATTTTGTGTACGTATTGATGCTTCACCGCCCAACATTCTATGCCATACAACATCGTTGGCCTTATTGCCGTCCTATAAAATTTTTCCTTGAGCTTCAGTGGCCTACGACGGTCACACACACGCCGGATGCACTCTTATACTTCATCCATCCAGCTTGTATTCTATGGTTGAGATCTCCATCTAATTCTCCGTTCTCTTGCACGATAGATCCTAGGCAGCGAAAACGGTCGCTTTTTGTGATCTTCGCTAGATTGCTCCGGTCATTAGTGTGGATAAGTATATAAATGGATAGAGATAGGAAAGCAAACACAAGATGTACGTGGTTCACCCAGATTGGCTACGTCCACGGAATAGAGGAGTTCTCATTAATTGTGAAGGGTTTACACAAGTACATAGGTTCAAGCTCTCCTTTAGTGAGTACAAGTGAATGATTTAGTACAAATGACATTAGGAAATATTGTGGGAGAATGATCTTGTAATCACGAAACTTCTAAGTATCGGAGTGTGGTCTCGTCTTGACTTGCCTTATCTGTCTCATAGGTAGATGTGGCATCTTTTCTGGAAGTACTCTTCCTCCATCCAGGGGTGGTATCTTTAACTGGTGGAGATGCACAAGGTAATGTATCAATTTCACTTGAAGCTTACTTGTAGTTTCAGGCTTGGTCAAGCGCGATACAAACCATGTAGTAGGAGTCCCCCAAGTCGCCGAGCTAGGGGATCTGCTGAAAGAGGTGACAGACAAGGTAAGCAATCAGAGCTCCGGCTGATTGTTCACATTCGCCCTATCTTGCAGGCAACATGAAGGATAAAGAGAAGAAAATGAGAAGAAATGATATGGGATACTTTTGCTTTTGGAAGTAACTTTCCACATGCTTATTCTTGAACTGAGCTGGAGGGTTTTCTGGTTTCCTCCAGAGCATAAGGCCGATTGAAGAATTTGAGGGTCAAAACAAGTCCATCAAATCTAGAGTACGTTCGACCCTGCTGATATGGGATACTTTTGCTTTGACAGAGTAATGGATGTATCGGCACGTGTGCTGTTTCGCTTGTCTCCACATGCTTCCTTGTATCCTTCTCCCTTGCCCTATTTGTTCCTCAGGCAGATGCGGTATCTTCCCTGGAAGCATAAGATGTTGAAGATGAGTACTCGAGAGCAATGGCAGGTAAGTAATCAGGTAAGGGGTTCCAGGCAGTCAGTTCATGGCTGGAAGCTTGATTCCAAGTGCTGACCGATTGCTCTTTTTCTCCTTGTCTTGTAGATAAGAACAAGGCCAAAGGAAAAGACAGGGAAAAAACATGATATGGGATACTCTTGCTTTTAACCCTGATGATATAAGATATTCTTGCTCTAGTATAGCTTGTTTGCAGAGGTATTATCGGGGGGGGGGGAAAGAAAGCTGAATTTTTCGAAAGGCTTCGTTGGGAGTGCCCTCTCAGATATGAGGAAGGGTTGAGCATTTTTGCAGGTC